GTATTCAATCAAAAACTTGCATCGGTAAAATATAAAATCACGGAGAACGAGAAGGGCCTGAACATCTTCGTCAAGCCATCATCCAAACTTGGAAGAGCCACAAACTGCTTCCTCTTATGTATAATCCAGCCTCTAATCACTTGATACACCCACCGAGAAAAAAAAGAATAATACAGAGAGGGGATGAAGACGATAAATCTCGGGATTATGAAACAACCCCCGAATCACTGCATCCACCATAAAAAGGGGCAGTAACTAAAATTTCGTCTCTTTTTTTTTGACAGCTTCTGTCGAAGAAAAATTCACACGTAAAACTCACAGCTCAAGGAATCAACGATACTTCTCAAGTCAAGACATTATAGAATGATTTTGACACTGAGACTAATTTTTGTCATTGCTAAAATGTATTCTACGATAAAATCCTCTCAAAGGCCTTTTTTCACACCATGGAATTTCTTCGAGACGTACTGTATTTCAAAATTGTTCAAGATAAAAAAAAAATATTTTGCACAAATTGCGCCAACCAGAACAGCGCGGATTCTAAACGTGATTCCAATGGATTCTTACTTTTTTTTTAATCACGAAAATTGAAATTTGGCTGAAATAAGGAAAGAAGGCCGGCTTATACTCAAAATAATATATATTTTTTATTCGCCATTATTATTCGAGTACCAAGCATCACATTAAAAGACGAGCAATTCTGTTTTCTCTAACAAAAAAATTCATTACCTCAAAGAAAAAAATTACTACATTTGAAATAAAGGCTAGTAAAATTTGAATGCAATTGTGTGTTGCATTTTTTCATCTGTCAGTTCAATTTGGGTCAAAATACCGCATGCAGTAAATTTTTAAAATTCCTTCTTACCTCAGAAAAGCTACTGTACCGTACAGTACTTCTTTAAAATTCACCGAATGTGTTTAAAGCATGACGCCCTCCAATAGTTTAAAAATTCGTAGAAAATGCGCATTATTGAGTATGACTTGCCATGTCTACATGCTTAACATAGGAACCTTTGACAGATCTGTGAAATTTTAGTTACTTTTTAATGAGGCACCTAAACGCATACCTGAATCAATAAGGTATACATTTTAAAACAAAAATCATTAAATTTGGTTTCAAACATTTTCCTGGCCTAAGTGAAGGTTAATTTTTCTGAGAATTGGTTCTTCTAGGAAATTTCATTTTCTTTCAGGATCGTGCAAATGGTAATCTACTGTGAAAAGAAATGGGAATTTCACCTGGGTTTGATATACAGTGAACCCCCAAACAACAGAGTTAATTTGTATGTTGTGTGAGAAGCCTGTTATTATTTGAATTCATTTATTTAAAAAATTTAAATAATTACTTTATTTCTTGCGGAAAATATTTGCGCGTGGCCCCACAGTGAATACGGTATCATTTTTTGTTTTCAAGTCGCAGGCAAAATTGACAATACTTAAAGTACAACCCCTCGCGTCATTAGAAAAAGAAAAAAAATTTTGGACAAGGCAGAAAATCCATCCAGAAATAAAGAACAGGGGAGAGGGAGAGAGAAAATCCCGAGGCAAGACCAGCGAATATTATTATTTCCTCACGCGCACATATTCTCGAAAATTCACGCCCACCTGTCAAAAGTCCTCTCGCCCTTCCCAGATCAAGCAAGCAAGCTACTTACAGCGAGTCAAGAAGACATAACGCCAACAGGGTGAAGTTGAGAAAAGGAAGAACAAAAAAAATAACCTCTTGCTCAGAAACATTAAGAAGAAGCACAACGAGGAAAACACAAACGAAAAAGAAAAACAAAAAATTCGGATTGAGAAGAAGAAATAAATGCCATACGGGGGCTTCTCAAAAAGTCACGGTATTTGTTTTTACTTTCGATTCCCTTCGTTATTCATGAGTGTTGAGATTTCAAGTGACTCCATTGGAAGAATTCCGCCTTTTCGTTCAATCAGACGAGGGTTTCTTAAATTGAGTACTCGGGTACTGTACAACGTATTGGAGCGACATCTGAGCGAAAAAATATAACTTTATAGCTGCGAAGGACAAATTATACTTTTAAAAATCGTGTACTGCATATGGTTCCTCAAAAATCGATCTGAGGCAGAGGAAAATGGATGAATGACTTCATGCGAATTATTCAGTAGAAAACAATCGATAAAAAAAACGGAAATGTCTTCATTGTCAAAATGTGCACAAATATTCCGGTTTTTGCGAGGAGCCTCAATAATTAAACATGCCATCGTTTTAGAATTAGAAAAATTTCAATCATTATCTCAACAGCCAACACATTTTTCACCGAGTGGCCCCCGTTTTTAAAATCGTTTGAATCGTTCCTACAAAAAAAAAAAACAAGACGCAAAATTTTTCAAAATGTCGATTATTCGACATTTTGTGGCTTCCTCTTTGAACATCTTTTCTATGTCACCAGCACATTCAATGTGCAAAAAGGCCACATTTAAAAATGGATGTATTGTATGAGTCGTTTCCTGTCCAGAACACCTTCGGACAATTTTACTAATTCATTGTTTCAAATTCACTGGTTCAAACATCTTTGGCAGAAGTAACATTTAATTTGTTGAAGGTGATTTTGTTCAACAATTCCTCCCGAGGTAAACCCAATTTTCTTGGGCCGACTTTCAAGAAATCTCTTATAAAGATTTTTTTTTTTTTAAAGAAAATGCTTCCATATTCGACCAGAAGAAAGACCAAGTTAATTTATATTTCCTGGCCGGAAAGATTGATGTGAAAATATCAGTTGTTGAAGGTGATTTTTTCCAAAAAGTTTCTCTTGAGGTAAACCCAATTTTCTTGTGCGACTTTAAAGAAATCTCTTATAGTCTTTACAGACATAATTTTTTTAGAAAATGCTTCCATATTCGAGCAGAAGGAATACCAACTTTCTTTATATTTCTTTGTTTGAAAGATCACTGTGAAAATATAAATCTTTGACGACGATTTTTTCAACAGTTTCTCTTGAG